TGATGAATATTGAAATTTGTATTTTAGTTCTAGAAAAAATTTTAATCCATCAATATTTGACTGAGAGAATTTATAACACGAAAAAAAATGTCTTAGCTAGACGTTGTATTTGGTAGTTGTGGCGATTTTTTGTATAATTTCTGAATATCACGTATTTAATTCAGAAATTATACAAAGAAAAAATAGTTATTACTGATTATACGAGGACTATTAGGAAAATAATTTCCCAGTTTTTCACAGTAAACATTTTTTATAACTATTTATCGAATTTCTTTAATTCAATTTAGTATCTATAGATTTATCATAGTATACCATAGTATGCTTTAAGAAACAACTCTTTCGTTCAATTAATACGTAGATAAACACTCAGTATAATGTGAAGTGTTTATTAAATAATATTTTCGCGTTGCATAGAAAATGCACACACAATTATATTTATTCAATACATAATTATTGTTTAAAAACACTATAAACTATTATTTTAAACACTGCGACCATGTGCAAGAACAATTTATAAATTTTGTACAGTTGTTTATAATTCCTTTGTTTTTATATATTTATATTAATACTGATCAAAGTAAATAATTTGGTACATACTTATATGTTGACTTTGTTTTAAAAAGTATTTTTTTTCTTTCCTAATAAAAAGTTATAACGTACCGGACGGAAATCAACAAATGCAAGTGGTTTTTGACAATACTATACAATCGATCTTATTTATTCTTTTTTTTTTTTTTTTTTTTTTTGTAGTAACCACTAAAATATGAATGCACGTACTGCATAAGGTTTAGCATTTGGTACAATACAGTGTTACTATATAATCCATTACCTTCATTCGAACTATGAGAACTAAAAAAATCTCAGGGCTCTTGACATTCAGAAAATGAACACTCGTAACACTTAAGCACGTGAGATATTTACGCGAAAGGTGATGTAGGTACATAAATGGCGTGAAATATAATGTTGTGGTGTCATTTCCGGAATTCTCGGTTCAACGTAAGGAAACGCATACATTTTCAACCAAATAATGCAGGTATTTCGAAACAGTTCATTATAACGAATACACTCATAGCGCTTAATCCGATTTAATCTCTTCGTTTACGAAATATTTTTTCACAGTCCTTTTTAATACTTGAAACTCCGAATGGATTCAAATAGCATCGAACCATTCTACAAAATGAACGGTTAGAGATCTTAAAACGAACCTTTCTTACAACTAAAAATATAATATTTGTTTATAGTGTACTAGTATTTGATGTTTATTTCAATGGCGTTTTTAAGTGGCATAAAATGTGATACCAGAAAACGAAAACATGTGATTATCAATCGACTCGTAGTTGTTGACTACAAAGTGTTATGTGTAGAACGAATAGTTCCATTACGCAATACGGAATACGGAATACCTATGAATAATTTCTCCGATCGTCGCTTGTGACGTTTGTTTTGTGAGTGCATATTTTTTGTGTCACAAACAGCTGAAATGCACTTTTAAGCTATGTGTAGACATTAAAATTACTCCGAGAGTGATCAGTAAACTTTAACATTTAAAAAAATATAATTTCAATGGTTCGGTGTTTTATAAATTGTGATATCATAAAAAATGTAGATATGTTTGAATTTTTCATATACAAAATTATTGAGCATATGTATAATACTTATATATTAACTATGTATATCAAAGCAGGACCAGTGTAAAAGTGTTGAATATCTCACCCCACATATGAATAACCAATTTAAAGGAAAAGTAGTTGGTATCTTCAACAAATTACGTAATATTAGTATTGTACGATTTTTCTTTAGAAAGTAATCGGAAAATTTGTATATTTATAGTAAATCCCCCTCCTATCAATATTTTTTAGCACCGGTCCTGCTTTAGAGCATTTAAACAATTACAAAAGATTCCTTTGTATTGTAATACATGTCCTTTCAATTTTGTTTCTTACATAGAAAATATCAATCAGTGTTGCTTACGAGATTATTTTTTTGATATTTTTAATTATGGTGGAAATTATGATCATGGATATAAAAAACAAATATTTCCTTATTAAGTAGTATATGGTTCAATATATATATTGTTATAATTTTATTTCAAGTGATTACCGGTAAATTGTGACTGCTTATAAACCTTGAATGTTCTGAATGTGTGATATGACTTCTTAGTTATCATTAATTTAGTTGAAATCCATTCATCAGAACTGATAATAAAATGTTAAACAGAAAAATTGAGAGAAGGGATGATGTACATTTACTATTACGTAAGTCATAAACCTATTGTTCTATTGTCTAGTGAAATTTTTATACCTTTGATTATGGGATTAATCCGATACATTTTATGAATGGGTACAACCATCGTTATGTGCCTATAATGAAAAAAAAAAATATGAATATTTAATAAATTAGCTTATATTACACTACAAATATTTAAATTAAGTGTACAGTTTTTGAAATTGAACATATGTAAAAAAATTAAAGTTTCAAATTCATTCGACCTTATTTTTTAGAAATATACAAATTTAATGATTTTTACTATTTTATTAGAGGTTGAAATGTTTATTAAGTACCTTATTATCGATAGAACTTTTCTAACAAATAATTATTCATCTGTATGGAATCACAATTGTATTACACGAACATGTAATTGTTTACTGTAGGTAACATAACGCTTTTCTGCCAAATATAGTATACTACTAAAATGTAATGCATTAAAGATACATCAAAGGTAAAAAACATATATTACTATAATAGCAAGTACTGTAATAATTAAAATTAAAAAATGAAACAAAAATGAAAGCTATAAAAAAGTTTTATAAATGTTTAACGGTATTAAGTATTCGTGTACTTATCAAATTGAGCATTGTAATTTTAACAGTGTCGAATGTGATATAATGAACCATAAAAATAAATTGTTACGTGACTGAAAACCATTATTAGGGTGGTTGAATGTTTATATAGGTTTGGTTAATGGATATATCTTTTTAGAAGTATACTTAAAAACAATTTTTGCCTTCAAACGATTGCAACTAATATCCTAGTAATCGGTCCTAAAAACTGATTTAAATATCTATGATTCTTATATTTTGCTTAAATGTAATTATGAGTATTTAATACATTTTAGTATTTTAGTTTGTGTGAGGCAATGTAAATGTATTTTCTTTACGGTAAGATGTCATGTTTTTGATCTTAATTAATTAATTTTTTTACTGATTATAACCTGCTAATTATTTCTAAGCTTCATGTATAAAGAATCGAAGAGTCTCGCTAGAGACTCCTTTCTGTGAGTTTTAGGATGGTGTAAATTATAGATTGTTAACAAAAATTTTAGAAGGGCAGATTAACTCGTAAACTCCGATTTATTATACGCTGTTCTGTTGTAATTTTTTTTTAATATTTTTTACAGTTGAAATTTTAACTGTAAACTGTTAAGTTTAACTTGAAATTTTTGTGAATTGATATTTTTCTAAGTTGAGTCACAGAATATTGGGATTGATTTCACTTCTTTGTTAACCCCAAAATTCAGGAACTTTTTCAACAATGTGCCTTTTTGGCACAGAATCTGGGTGTTGATTTCGTAATTGAACGTACCTGATTAAGTTTTTAAGAACAGTTTTAACGCTGTAAACAAACAAAATCAAATGCATTTTTTTTTAAATACATTTTATTTTGCTATTCTGATTCAAGTTGAGCATGCGACTCCATTAAACCATTATATTTGTTTTTTATACGCATTTAGTCGTTGTTTCTTTGCAGGTTTTATGTACAGTTTCAAATTTTATGCAGATCAATGTTCATACGTGATACGTTAAGTAATACGCAATACATTAAGTGATAAATTACACTATATGAATTGCAAAACATGTCCGCATAAATATGAGCAAAATTAGTGAACACTCCTTTGAAGTGATTGTTTTCAAATTGAGAGTAAAAATTGTATATCCTTGTGACGTGCTATATTGTCAATGGTTTAATGTATGTTAAATGAGTTTGCACATATTTTTTGATTTAATTAGACGTCTATGATGAGTATAAGATAATGCAATTGATGAGTGAATCAGTAATATCATTGGAAATTATATATGGACGTAAATATATCGTGTCTAACCACCATTAATAAAATGTCAACGTTTTTTTTTTTTTTTTTTTTTTTAATACTTCAGTACGATAATACAAATAAAAAATATATATTGCTTGACTGACTATATCTAAAACATAATAGTAGGTAAGAACTGGTCTTCAGCATTAAACCAAATGTTGATAGTGTAATTTAGGAAAATTAAAAATTTTAAGGTCTCTAGGATAGGTACACAGCATTTCATTAAAATAATTCAAAACTATAAAATATCTTAAGCTAAATAACAAATACTGCAAGGTCCATTTCTCCAACACCCCCATTTTCGAATTTCGGAACCGATCCGGTCTCAATCGTTTGTACCTAATTGTACCTCTAGTCCCTTCGTTTGTACATCAAAAGTTTCTAAGTTATCCCTGTTTTACTTCGGAGGATACAAGTAAATCCCATTTTTACTTTAGAAAATAAAAAAAACATTGTGTGTAAAGTTTAATTTGGTCTATGATACATAATATAATATATATAATCTATAATCTTTCAAGTCAAATATTTCTGATCATTGTGATGATCGGAACAATTTTTTTAGTCGAAATTGTGTACAAAAATAAAAAATAAAAATTTATTTTTATTATTAAAATGTTATTGTAATATTTATTATTTTGATTATTATTATTAGTTATACTAAATTTAATTGCATATTTAAATTACATACAACATATTTAGTTTGGCTCGAATAAAACCTTTTGTTGATTTTCGTTTATTAGCTATAAAATATAACAAACGTATTTTTTACAGTACACCATTAGATTCTACCTTTGAATTATCTCGCATCAGGATTTATCCAACAATTTGAATAGTTATTATACTTATCGACTGCAATTCTTCAGTTGATTATTAGTATTAAATCTATTTAATTTTAATAATCATATTCATATTCAAGATGGATTGTCAAAAGAACAAGTATAACATCAGTACGTAGAATTCATAAGTTTATTATTTATTTTACAAGAATATATTATACCTTATTATACAATTGTAACTGTAGTATGTTCGTGTGGAATATATTCGTCAGTTATACAGTGTATATATACTCTTTAAGTTTTGAAGAAGAACCTTTACAATTAATTTTATAATAATTATTTTATATTTTACACATTAGTTGAAAACTGTTTCTATAATCATTTTGAAAAATGTATTGCTTGATCTATTTAATATTATACTGACACAATAAAACAAAATTATATGTACTTTATTTTTTTTTTATAGGTGTTGTAATAAAACCTAGAATAGGACCAATTCCTGAAAGTGTCCATCGAGTATGTCATATTACGTTGTTTTATTTTACATATTGTAGATGTATTTATAAGTATTTTAAAATATTAATAATTTTAGTAAATTTATATTTACCTACCTCTCTTAATTTAATTGGACTTGTATTATTTATTTATTTATAAGGATGGTCTGATAATAAATAACTGTAGAAACTTAAGTAATAGAGGTATGATTCTGGGGTTGGTTAGTTATCATTGTTAAATATTTCAATAAAAAAACCATCCGACTCTTAGTTGCTCTATTCTAAGTAGATAAAGACTCGGGAATCTAACATATATTACTACTACTTTTGTTATGTACTCTAATTATTTCAATGTTTCCCAAATATATATCATTTGACCAAGAGTGCAATGTATAATTCAACAAAAAAATATATTTGTGTTAATCTTGAAATCTATAAATACGTCCTAGATCTATTATCTTTGATATTTTCCATTAAGTTTTCATTGAATTTGGTATAAAATGTTTATTTTAGCTACCTGATATCGAAGGTTTAACGCAGGATGAGATGAATAGAAAATCAACTTCTGATAGAAGAAAACGGCGCATAGCTCACGTGCCAAAGTACCCACCGATCATAAAAAAGCCAGTTATTCCGCTTTCCGAGGAACCAAAAAAAAAGAATGCCACTAAAAAATCAGTTAAACCAGCTGTACCGAAGGAGACAAAGAAAAAAGAAATAATACTAGCCGTAAGTGGTCAATAATGAATGATACATGTAAATAAAATTATTGTAATTATGTAATTATAAGAAGAATTTATTATTTGTTTAAACCATTCAAGTAAGTATTAGAATTTCAACTTGTAAAAAATCTTATATGAAGAACTTATTTAACTATCCATATTTGTTTGATGCTTTATGCTATTTTGATGAAAATCAATATTTCCAAATGAATGTTACATTTAGATAATAATAAATTAAACCATATGCTTTTAGTGCACACATCCCGTGACTCGACCAGACTTTTTAAGTTTGTGCATATTTTGTTTAATTTAGCACGTTCATTATTGGGTACTCTTTTTTGTATAATTATGATACAGAATAGATAAAATCCAAATAAATTATAACGTATATTTATATGATGTATTCATATTGTAACTGCTATAAAAATGTTTTCTTATATACGAGTAGTTAGCATATGCGCATAAAAATAATATAAGATTAATTTTCAGAGTTCAGAACTGAATAAATATATGGCCCAACCTATAAAAGTGAGAACAATACCAACAGTCGATGTCCCTTGGGCATACCAGGGACCATCGAACTCCAGTAAGAGAAAATTGTTCAGTATCTTAATCCATTATTTTTATAAAGGTATCACATTTCTAACGACACTATTGAACATTTTCTCTACACATATATTTTTCCACATACTCCATTCAAGTTTGACACTCGGGTTTTCAAATGTATATTTGAAAAGACAGGAAATATCATATTAATGCACTTTGAATATTCATATTTTACGATAAAAATTAATATTTTTTTGTATAGTTTTAATTTTAACATTTTTAACGATTTTCTTATTAGATATTATCATGATATTGTATAATCCATGAGAATTAGTATCTGTTAGTTTGGTTTATATTTTTTAGATCAAACAAACAAGAGAAAAGCTGAAATGGAGAATTTCAACAACAAAAAAAAAAAAACTTATGCTAAAAAGTTTATTATGTAAAAAAATTTAATAATTAATAAAAAAGTTTTCATTTGTTTATTCTAATAATGTTTTATTCACTGAATAGGAGATAATCCTCTATTTTTGTATGTTCACAATCATTAAATATTTTTCTGGTGAAGCAAAATGTATTTTATAGTCAATGTTGGGGAAAGATAAACAACAAATCATCTAGATAAGATAATAGAAAATTCTTCCAACATTTATCTAGATAAACATAAAAATACATATAAATTAGTCTAGATAAAAAAATAGATATTTTTTTATTTTACTTCTATTATAAATTTATAAATAGTGAATTTGTATAATACACATGTATAATATCATATTACATATCCTGCATACACCTTGGCAATTTTGACCAAACTTCAAGGAGGGTATTTAAAATTTCAATTCCCTTTAGGGGGGGAGGTTAGCCACTCTTAATCATACTATATTGGCTCCACTAACTAAAAAACCGCTGATATAAAATTATTTTATTAATGTAATAGTGTATAAATGGTTTAATTCCAAGTGATTGGTATCAAAACTAGCTAAAAAAATTTCAATGTATTTCTTCCAAATTGTTTATACTATAACTTATGTGTGTATTCTTCAAATAAAGTATTTTTAATTTAGGACTGCATAAAATATGTAAATTACAATAATTAATCACACTATAGTGTAATATACTGTTGATTTTAATTAACTGTAATTAATTTTAAATTTTAATACACATATTATACAAGGTCTTAAATGGTAAAATATAGAAAATAAATTTTATTTCTTCATCACTTTATAATCATACATAACAAAATATTTAATATATAATAATAATAATAATAATATATATAATAAAATATACTTAAATTAATAAGATAAAATAAAAATGTGCTTATTAACAAGTATTATATGCATTATAAAAATGATTGTGAATTGATATTTTTTCAAGTTGAGGCACAGAATTTGGGTGTTGATTTCATTTCTTTATTAAGCTCCAAATTCTACTTTTTCAACCCTAGGAATTTTTGGCACATAATATTTTGATTTCACTTATTTATTTACATCGAAATTCTATCTTTTCTCCCAATCGCTTCAACTTAAGCACAGAAAGCCTTTTTTACTTCTCCGAAGTAATTTTTTGTGGTTGTATATACCTAGATGATATTCGAGAATCAATCATAAAGAATAACACTAAATAATTCTAAACATTTCAATACAATACGTATAATCAAGGTAGTAAATATAAATTACGGTTTTATCATATTTAATCAATGATTAAATATAATATACGTACTATTATTCATATTATTTACACAGTGTCAATTAAAATAAATGGTACCTACTTTTTTTTCTACAAAATTCTCATTTTTTATTTTATTTTTAAATGTTGAAATATATAATAAAAGCCCAACACTAATGTGGCAAAATAAATATTTCTATAACTAACAGGTACAGCGTGTTTTTTGAAAGCGTATTATATTTTCAATTAAATTTAATTAAATTGTAATTAGTTGTAATTTTACTCCACAACAGTAGATGTTCTATCAAATAATTTATGTAAAGATTGAATATAATTTATTACTGGATAACTATATTTTACTTGTTGTATTTTCTATTATGAAATATTTATTGTTTTCTTCTTTTTTATTTTAAACGATGTTATACTTATTACTTAGTGCTTTCTGGTATATTAGCATTACTCAAAGAACCTCTCATCCTTGATATTTAATTTCATGTTACCGAGCACTCCTTCCAATATTGATTTTGTGCCGTAGTATATTATTTGTTAGGAAATGTAATTGTTTTACTCGTAAAACAGGTTTTTTCTTAGTCTACAACATTTATTTGGACACATTTTTTATGTCTACTATATTAAAAGTAAGGTAATGAAGTAATAATTTCATTAAATAATCTGAATAGTCAAAAACAAACAAATATATTGTTTTAAATGTGTGGCTACGATTTTTTTGTAGTATGTAAATTGGTATAAAAAAAAAAAAATGTATGGTTTTTGACAATTTATATTATATATGTTTTGGATTAAAATGAATTTTTTTTAACATTTGTTAAAATTGTTATCGTATAAAAATGTATAATAGTTATATTATAATCAAATCTAAACTTTTATATAACTTATATAAAAGTTTAGATTTGATTTTTATGTTGTAAATATTATTACTTTTAAAAGCTTATTACTGAATAAGATTCTACACTTCATCTCCCAAAGATAAGGTTTCTTAACTATTTAAATACTGGACAACGGCCTAGCAAGAACTAGGGGCCTAGGGCCTAAGATAGTATTAATCCGGACCTCCTCACAGATATTAAAATTTATAAAATACTTGTCTACGAGACATTAACGTTTTATTCTTTCAATTATTAGAACTAATTTTACGAGACACGAAATGGAAAGTCTTAACTGAAAATACATAAAATATTTTTTTTTAAAATGATTTAATTCAAACCATGTGAAGATCATTTAATTTTTGAATATTTTCATCTTGTTAAACTGAAAATTAATTTTAAACTCACTGATAATCAAAATAACTACAAATACTATCTTTGTTTCACAAAATATAAAAAAAATATAAACTAATCTCAAAATGTTTGAACATTTTACTAGTATTAAAAATATGTTATAACATTTAAGCTAGATATTACTTTGTACTGATCCTTTGAAAATGCAGTGACATCACATTTTTAAAAATTCTATAAAGAAAATTATATCCAAGACATCGTTTAAACAAGAAAGTACTATGTTTTTTGAACACAATTAATTTAAATAATTGTTTATATTTATCAGAATGTTATTATAACTTTGTACAAATTTAAAAGGTACAAATTTATATTATTATCTACAAAATTTTAAACTTTTTGAATATATATCTACAACATAAATTTATAAATAATTTACCATTTACTTGATTAATAAAAATGTAATTGTAATTTTACTGTTTATAAATCAAGAAAAACAACTAGATTATTATATGAATAATTGAAAAGCAAATTTGTTGAAATGTACAAGAGATTTAAGAATAATAAATTATGAATATACATAATTATATACAATTACTACCAAAGAAAAACATTAAAACATTAAAACAAAACGTAATCTTATCATATGTGACATTGCAAATTAATTGATCGTAGTCCATTTGAAAATTTCACATTTATTTTGATAAATTTTTAATTTACCAATATTTTGAAATTTAATTTTTATTGCCTTACAGTTAATAAATCATGATGGATCAGACGGCCAATCATAAGCGGATATTGGGGGGGGGGACTTGAAGGGCATAAGCCCCCTCTAAACGTAATCAAACAACATCAGATGTCAAAATAAATTGTGTATTTTAATATTTGATATTTATAACTTTTATTTTATTTTGTTGATATGCGAGAATGGTCTGGAATATTTATGGGCTATTGTTATTGAAGAAAACTATAGTTTATAGGTAATAAAGGAAATTAAGAAATAGATTTATACTATTAAAATAAAAAAATAAAAATGAGTAGATATTTAATATTTTATATTTTTATGTTCCTATTACTTGTATATATTTAGTGCTTCAACAAGAATAAACTATTTAGTGGATTGAAGCGTCTAAATATATTTGTTTACGCTGATGGATAAGACAACAATGTTAACCCCCTACCCACAGATGTGACCAAATATCCATCTATGCGATCTATTATTGGCAAGTATTTTAATCAGAACTTAAAACCGGTTAAAACTGTTTTTTTTATTAACCAGTTTTATTGGAAAATATGTATGAACGAAAACAAAAATGGTACCACAATTACTAACTTTATAGAACGAAAACGAAATAGTTAACCAGAAAAACATTTTTCGTTCTCGAACGGAAATAAATACATTTTTAATTACGAAAAATAATTAATATTTAATTTTAGTTTTTACACATTTCGTTAAGTTGGTCAGCCTGTTTTGTTCGACAAAAAACATGTAAAAATTATTAGATAAACATAAAATAATTCACAATATAAAAATTGAACAGTTGGTAAGTGGGACTACTGATCGTAACCCCACATTACTTTAGGTAATATGTGAACACGATTAATGACAACCAGAAATCACATTATTTATTGTTACAATAGCGGTATTAATGAACGATGTTGTTATTTTAAATTACATCAAATATTTATACATTTGTTCAACATTTTGAATTAATATGGTTTTTCTTTTTTGTCTTACTCGATAATAAATATTGCAGTTATATTGTTCATTATGTGTGTTAGTATATTCAATATTGTAATAAAAACTTAAAATTGTGTATCATATTATCTATTTTATATTAATACATTATAAATATATAAATTATGAACTTTTTTTAAGAATATCTCACGATAGTTGAATTTTCTAATTAATTATTTCATAATTATGATCATGAATTGTATGAGGTATATAATTGTTATAAAAAAATATATTTTTTCAAAAGAACAAAATTAACCGGTTTTAAAAAACTATAAAATAAAAGATCAATATTAATCAGTTTTTAAAACTAAATAATATAGTAGATGAACTAAAACCATTAACCATAAAAATTCATTGTGGTTTGAAGCCCTGATTTTAATTGCCTAAGCAACTGTACTCAAATAAATGTGTAAATTGTTAATAAAATGTAATGGTTAAATTTGTACGATTAAATACTTATATTTATTTATATCCGTTAAATGTAATAATGCAATTTAATTACTATTTGTGACAATTTCCATAGTAAAATCATGTTATGCTCGATTTGTAATAATAAATAATATATTTTGATGATCGTATGTTAAAAATGTCAACTGAACCCTAGGATTGAATGATAAAACTTCGATATAATGAAAATAGTTCATATCTATAAATCTTTAATTAGAATCTTTTGGTAAGCTCGATGATTTTCCTTGTAAACCCAACAAAGGAAAAACATTAGGACTCACGTATTTTAGTGTATTTTACGAGTTCCTTAAGTTTGTATCCGTTTGCTATGAGCTTATATAAAACTAATTATATATAATCAAAGTAGATTAAAACATAACCATAAATCTGAGATCATAGTTATAAATAACTATTTATGTTTTGAAATGAAAAACTTCAAAAGATTTACGATACAATGGTTTAT